TTAATATTTGTATCAGTTAAGCACATTAATGAAATTATATTAAATAACCATGTAGAGATTTATGCGGGACAATTATCCTCAGAATATAAGAAAGACTTAATTTTTTTTGTGGTATTATTCTTGAATAATCTAAAAATTCTACACTCTGTCCTTGATATTGAACTTACCGTAACTTTATCAATAATTTAGATTACTTTAATAAGAACGGGATTAAAACTAATCAATACTTTTACAAGTGATTTTTCTACTTCTTTCTTAATAAAATATTTCATATCGTTTAAATAATTAATTTAATGAATCGAATATTGTAAAGCCGATAACTGTTTGGCCTTATGATCGAAAATGTCATTGATAATCTGGTTATACATACTATAATAACGAGGCCGATAATTTTTTTTTATCTGAATAACAATGATTGTAAAAACTGATCAATTATTCAATCAATTATGCGAAAAATTATTCAAATTGAACATCTTTTTAAAATTAACACAACAAATATATAAAAACAAATTAGCGAGGTATTGGTAACCACGGATTGCTAATTTACTTCTACATGATGAAATTTGTTTAATAAATATCATATATTATATTAAAGCAACACAAGATTTGCAACACAATTGAATGAAAGAACATTTAAATTCAAAATACTAAATATGTGAAAAATATCCAGACATGTTAATTAATTGCACATACAAATGCAAATGTATGAATTATTTTTTATTGCATAAATTCTAATTACAGGCCGATATCATTATTATCAAACTTTGCTAAGGTATTTGAAAAAATTATTTATAGAGAACTAATTCCTTCTGTTAGAACTTTAATTTCTATTAATCAACATGGTTTCATGCCTGCCCGTTCTACGATAACAAATTTAATTTGTATTAAACAATATATAGCTGAGAATCTTGACATCAATGGACAAGTTGACGTTATTTACACTGATTTCAGTAAAGCTTTTGACAAAATTGATCATAACATTCTTCTTACTAAATTATCTAAGATTGGTCTTAATTCTTCACTTATTCACTTTTTCAAGAGTTATCTTCATAATCGCAAGCAGTTTGTCTTTCTTAATGGATTCTTGAGCAACATTGAAAATATTAGTTCAGGAGTTCCTCAGGGATCCATTCTTGGTCCACTATTATTTATTATTTTTATTAATGACATTTCTGATACTATTAACTGTCCACATTTATTATTTGCAGATGATCTGAAACTATATCTCAAAATAAATTCTATTGATGACTGCTTATTATTACAGTCTCAACTTGACCTTTTCCAATCTTGGTGTATCTATAACAAATTACATCTAAATATATCAAAGTGCAAGATTCTTAGTTTTTACACATAAGCGCGTTCCAATACTTTTTGATTATAAAATTTCTAACACCAGCATTGATAGATGTAATAAAATTTCCGATTTAGGTGTTTTATTTTGATTCTGGTTTGTTTTTCACAGATCATGTTACTGATATTTGCAATAGAGCACATCAATCTTTAGGTTTGATACTAAGAAATTGTAAACAATTTAAGTCTACCAATGCACTTCTTTGCATGTACTATTCTATTGTACGTTCAAAATTAGAATACGGTTCGATTATTTGGTATCCTCATCATATCAACAACTCTGATGCGATAGAGAAGGTTCAGCGAAAATTTCTGAAATACCTTTATTATAAAACATATAAAATTTACCCTGAACGTGGCTTTGACCACAACACTTTACTAAAAGAATTTGGTATTCCTTCCCTTGCCTCACGTCGATTTATCTGTACAATTATGTTCTTATTTAAGCTTTGCAATAATTCTATAGACTGTCCTCTTATTCTCAATCAACTATCCTTTAATGTTCCAAGGCTATCTTCGCGTTCACAATTATTTTTCAATTATCCCACCCCTAAATCTAATTCTCTCTTAAATTCGCCAATTTTACTAATGTCCTCTAACTTTAACTTAATTAATAATGAAATAGACATTCACAACACATCACCTAATCAAATAATCTCCATCTGCACAAGTTAATCTTTTTATTTTCTTTCAAATATCTTATTATTTTCTGTTTATAAATATTATTGTTACATTCTGCATTATATGAAATTTTATCTTAGCATTTTATGTTACTAACTATATATTGTAATTTTGTGTATATTTTAATTGTTATACATTATGTCAAATAATTGTATTTTTGAGTCCTCTTGGAGAAATCTGTGGGCTATATATTTAAATAAATAAATAAATAAATAAATAAATAAATAAATATGATATGTCTCTCAATATCAAAGTTAAATATATAGTTGTAGATTAATTAAATATTGTCTATTGTTTGGGGGTATTCGATTTGATTTTTAGTTGCTTCTGGTAACTTAATGTATATGATTTTTTTTTCTACTGCAATTACATTTGTTGTAGAATTGCTTAAACATATTATCTTTTGTTTTAGATCTTTTTGGTCAAGTTGTTTTATATTAAGTGACTTAATTAACTTCCCGAAGGAGAAGTTTATGTTTTCATCAAAAAATCCGATTCGCTAATTTTATGTTTTCTCGACGTTTCAAGCCATTCTGAATCGAATGAGACCAAATTTGGAAAAAGTATGTGTGTGTGGGTGGTGTGTGTGTGTGTGTGTGTGTGTGGTGTGTGTGTGTGTGTATGTGAACAGATTTTTTGCCGTAAATCGACGTTTTCTCGAAAACGGCTGGGTCGATTTCAAAAATTTAAAAGCCATTCGATGTATCTCGACGAGAACTATTGTTTGTAAGTTTTGTGCGACGATCGGCCAAGCCGTTTCTTTATAAATGGCAGAAAAGTGAAAAATTTTTCGTCAACGTTTTAGCCCGCAATTCTGAATCGATTTTGAAAATTCAAAAACCGTTCGAAAGATATTGGTTGGGAATCGTGCTGATTAGTTTTTGGTAGAGATCGGCGGGCCGTTTTCTTGTAATAAAGTTTTAAAAAAAAAAATTTCGACGATTTTTATGATTATTTTTTTGACGATAGATACCATAGTCTTCTAGATCATACTAAAATATTACGGCCCTACGACAACTGGTTCAGCTTTAAAAATTCGTCAAAGTTTGCAAAAATCAGTATGGTCTTTTTGGCATTTGTCAAAATTAGACTTTTGATCGACGTTTTCTCAAAAACGCCTGAACCGATTTTAGAAATTTAAAAACCATTTGATGTATTTCGGTGAGGACTATCGTTTGTCAGTTTTGTGCAACGATCTGACAAGCCGTTTCTTTGTAATTCAAAAAAACTTTTCGTACACATTTAAGCTCATCCTACCGAACCGATTTTAAAAAATCAAAAACTGTTCGAAAGATATTAGTTGGGAATGATACTGATTAATTTTAGGTGAAAATCTACCGAGCCGTTTCTTGTAATTAACTGTTGAAAAAAAGTGTTAAATTTTCGTCGACATTTAAGCTCATCCTACCGAACCGATTTTAAAAATCAAAAACTGTTCGAAAGATATTAGTTGGGAATGATACTGATTAATTTTAGGCGAAAATCTACCGAGCCGTTTTCTTGTAATTAACTGTTGAAAAAAAGTGTTAAATTTTCGTCGACATTTAAGCTCATCCTACCGAACCGATTTTAAAAAATCAAAAACTGTTCGAAAGATATTAGTTGGGAATGATACTGATTAATTTTAGGCGAAAATCTACCGAGCCGTTTTCTTGTAATTAACTTTTGAAAAAAAGTGTTAAATTTTCGTCGACATTTAAGCTCATCCTACCGAACCGATTTTAACAAATCAAAAACTGTTCGAAAGATATTAGTTGGGAATGATACTGATTAATTTTAGGTGAAAATCTACCGAGCCGTTTTCTTGTAATTAACTGTTGAAAAAAAATTTAAGCCGATTGTCATGGCACTTTTTTTGGCGATATACATCATGGTCTTATAGAACTTACTGTAATATTATGGCCTTACGACAAGTAGTTTAATTTTACAAATTCGTCAAAGTTTGCTAAAATTATTATCGTTTTTTTCAAAGTAGGATTGGTAAAGAATATTATTTACACTTTTTTTTTATTAAGTCGATTATTTACACATATCGGGAAGTTCATGTAACTTGCCTCAAGGCTAAATACCAAACCAACTAGTTTTTTTTTAAATTGCAATATTTGTTACAACTGCTAAATAACTCAATATCTAGTAACAATCATGAACAATAATATAAATTTAAATGAAAAAGAGTAACACAATAAAATATAGTATTTTCATTAAAATGGGCTTGCAAGTAAATCTGAAGTTTTTCTTGGAGTCTAATAATAAAGTATGAAATGTTTGAAGTTTTTCTCATTAAATAAAAAATATTACTTGTAGAATATTTATATTATTTATTTTTGTGATAAGTTGCTATTTTCAATATAAATTTTGGATTTATTTATGCGCTGTTAACTATGTGATACAAAATTCAAGCTCACTTATCTCATGCAACTCATTTATTACATTATTTATCAATGTATTTAATTTAGAGCCATAACAATAATAATTGTTTGCAAATGGTTAATTCTACACATCATTTTTATTATAAATATAAAAAGTTTTTATATAATTCATTAATTTTTTACTAAAACTATTTTCTCATTTGTGTAATAATAATTTAGGATGCTCCAACAAAAAATAATCTATTAAGCTGTAAGCTGTTTGAAATACTGAACATTTAGTATACTACATTAGGCTTTACTTAAAAACTCTACATATTTGTCCTAATTGTTAATACCATACGTTTTTGTACTTCGATTTATAAAAAATACAGCATTTTTTGCTGACTCGTATATTAAAAACCCTATTCGAATACTTCTAAAAAATGAAAAATCATCTTTCTAACAAGGATAAATTTTAAGAACTTTCAAACACAACTTTCACTAATCAAAAATATTAGATTTTTTATATGTCAAATGACAAAATTGAACATATAGCAAAAGTAGTTTTTATGTCACAAGGATATGATTCAGTGATGATAAAAAAATAATCTATCAATTTATATCTATCGTATTTATTTTATCGTTTTTCGTGGCTGCAATTTCACCCAAAAGCCCTTCTCTGGTTTCATTTGCATCAAGCCTTTCGCCAGTTTTAATGGAATTTGTGTTTTTTCAGAAGGCACTATGTCAAATTCTTTCAAAATGTTGAAGAGCAATGTTTTCATTTCCATCAGAGCGAATCTTGAACCTGCATGTAAAAATAGTGCGAAATTTTTTATTAAATGATAAGAATTTTGTGTACCAAATTTTAATTCGTTTGTGTCCTCGTTTAGAGCGAAACCATTTTACTTAAAAAGATTTTGATCAAACTGGCACAAAATTAAATTTGATACAAAAACGTCCTGATATATAGTGCCATTGACTCATTGAGTAATTTGACAAAGTATTGATCAAGAAGTAATGAATTTAATTATTGACCAAGGTTCAATTCAAAGTTTGAAAATGAAGTATTTTAGCTGAATGATTCCAATAAATTAATAAAAAATCATCGAATTTCTAGCTGAGTAAGAGATTCAGTTTTATAGTACATATATAAAAGAATTTGAACAAGTTTTAGGTGCTCTTATTATTTTTTTTTTTATAATTACCTATGCAGTTTCTAGGTCCTACACCAAAAGGCATGTATGTAAACGGTTTGATATTGTTTTTGTTTTCTTCACTAAATCTGCTTGGATCAAATTTGTGTGGATTGTCATAATATTTCTCGTCATGATGTATATTGTATATTGGAAACAGCACAGCTTCTCCTTTCTTTACCTGTAACAACCAAATCAAATGTCAAAAAATTGGCAGTTTGATGAGATGGTATTAATTTAATCAACCTCAAACTTATTTCCTTCATAATCTTCCAAAGAGTATCCATTAACGCAAACTCTGTCAGTGAATGGAGCTGCTGGCCATTTTCTTAAGCCCTCTAAAATAAAAATTCATAACTTTATGAATTAAAACCAATGAGTCAAAAATTAGATTTATTACCTGATACGACCATATCCAAGTACTTCATCTTATGCAATCTTTCATAATCTACTAGTTTTTGATTGGATTGTTCCAAATCTTCACAAACTTCATCTATTTCGTCTTGCAGTGTTTTCTGAACATCTGGATTTATTGCTAATTCGTACGCAATGAAACAAGTTGATGCAGAAATTGATTCGAAACCAGCCAAGAAGAAAAGCAATGCTTGACCAGTTATCTCGTCATTTGACCAGGCTGTAATTTTCAACTGGTTAAGTTTAGATAGAAAAATCATAAACAAAAATTCAAAGAAATGTTATAGAAAGTAGTAAACTACAAAATAATACTGAAAGGACAATGTCGTGTAGTGGGTCTTGAATTAGCAAGATCAAAATACTTACTTCCTACTGATGTTACTTTTTACCACTTACCTCTTTTTGGAGTTGGTGTTTTTGTTATTGAAGATTCAGTAACTGTGGCAAAACCTGTGTCCTGAGTTGCATCTGCTCCTGCATCGTGCTTCAACGCTCCTCTTCTGGCTTGCATAAGTAAATGAATCATATCAGGACGAACAATTCCTTGTTTTTCTCTCTCATCCATGGTACCATGTACTAATGGTACATGGTACCATTGTTATGCGGAAGAATTGGCCGCATTCTTGATTGAGTAAAGTTATTTTGAAAAACTATAAATAAAAAAAACTTTAGAAGCTAATTTGATGGTGCGTTTTATTTATGAGGAAGAACAATTTACCTTCATAACTTGGGGCATCATCAAAAAGGCGGCAAATTTCAAGTTCACTAATACTCCAGAAAAGTTGGTTACTTTTTTACCCATTCTATAAAATTCATTGTCAGGATCTTTCAGAGTATCAACTTTAATTCCAAATGCAGAGGTTGCTATAACGTCATTAGCATATCTTGTGACGAGATCCTTAATTTCTAAATCCAAAGTACCTGTGAAAGAGAAGGTTTTGTTAAATATATTTAGGCAAAGGATGTGGATTGCAATTTTGGCACTTTAATGATAAATGTCCAATATCTTATGCCAACTGCTTTAAAAACTATATATATATATATATTAAAATTTACAATTCTTCAAGTTATAAAAAATTGTACATTTTCTAAACAATCATCGACTAGGTATTACATTACTCAATAAGTCCGTGGGATAACTAATAGATGATGTAGCTATGTAGTGATCGATATGATTTGTAGGAAGCGACATCTTCAAGTAGATTTATGTCAAAATTTTATTGCAATCCGACGATTAGTTTACAAGTTATAGAGGTTCCAGTGACGCTACTTTAGAGTCTTTCGAAACCATGAATTCAAAGCAATTTCGTGGGTTGATTCATCATTGCTTTTTGATGGGTAAAAATACTATTGCTGCCAAAGTATTGCTCGATAAGTGTTATCTGGACTGTGCTTAATCGAGGTAGATGGTAGAGAATTAAGGTGGATACACCGAAAAATATCGAAAAAGTCTACTGAAACATTTTGGATAACCGAAAAGTAAAATTGCCTGAGATAGCTGACACCCCCAAAGATACCAATAGGACATATAGTTCACGAATATTTGAATAGGAAAAACCTTTGTGCTAAATGGGTGCCGCGCGAAATCACATTTGACCAAAAGCATAACGAGTTGATGATACGTAAGAGTATTTGGAGCTGTTTAATCGAAATAAAACTGGATTTTTTATCAAGATGACACCTGGCTTCATCATTACACTCCGGAGTCGTACAGACAGTTAGCCGAGTAGACTAGACACGATGACGAGAAAAAATGCAAACAATCAGCTGGCAAGGTTATGGCGTCAGTTTTTTTGAATAAGCAAGTAATGATCTTCATCACCTATATAGAGAAAGACGAGACCGTCAACAGTGACTATTCTATTACGTTATTGGAAGATTTGAAGATCAAAATCGAGGAAAAAATTTAAAAGAAATCTGTGCTGCGCACCAAGTCACAAATCCGTGAAAATAGTGTAGTCCACTCATTATAGTAAGTTCTGCTCGGAATTCGAGATACCCAGCAGTAAGTATGTAATACCCTAAAATAACACCCTTAAAGTTGTCTCAAAACCTACATATGGCAGTATGTACGTACCATATGTAGTTTTGAGACAACTTTAAGGGTGCTATTTTGAGGTATACAGCTGGTTATCTCGAATTCCGAGATTCTTACCAAATTTAAGCTTAAATGACTGGACTAGTGGCATAAAACATGAGTTGGGCTCCGAATTGCTTTCCCACTCACTATTTTACCTAGATCTGTTCCCCAGCGACCATATCCTGTTATCAAATCTCAATCAAGGATGCTCGCTCTGAAGAAATTGTTGCCAAATGCTGAGATGATAGCCGAATTTTGTGGCTAAGTTCAAATCGTATTACAGAAAATGTCGAAGGTAGCTGTAATCCGTATATCGTCTTCGAAGAAAACTATACTGAATAAAAAAAAGTATTTTGCCAAAAAAAATGTTTTTTTTAGTTCTCCTCTGGACTTATTGACTGAAGTGATAACTGTACTAGTTAAATGTTTCTAATTCGTTTTTATTGTGTTTTTAAGACGTTTACATACATGTTGTCAATACATGTTTTCATAATAGAAATTGGCTACACTTACCTTTTTTACTAACTTCCTCATGTAAATGATCAGTCAACTGTTGTGCACACTCAATAATAAATTCGTACATGAGTCGCATTTTGCTTCCAGTAAAAGCTGGACTGAGGGTAGCTCGCATGTCACGCCATTTCTGATCTACAAAAAAATAATAATTTCATAACTTAAATATACAAAGCTCCTGGCATCAATTGTTACATCAATATATTTAGCTAGGAATAGTTAAAATCAATCTACTAATGATAAATTATTTCACCTTGCAGAGCAAAGAGGCTGCTTCCAAATAATGGTTCTGCTGCTGGGTCGAAGAAAACACGATGGTTTGGAAAATTGTCGAAATCTTTGACGGCTACTTGACGAATTAGTTCAGGATCTCGCAATAAAACTGAAGGTAAGCCCATTTGAAAGTTTCCTACAAATCTATGAAATCACTATTATTTGAATATGGGAACTAATATAAGGTTACAATCAGGCGATATTAATTTCTAATGCTGCAGCTCTTTCATTGGAGTTAATTTTAAATCTTCCATCTAAGTCATATTTAAGATACTAGACAAAACTAAATAGCTTATGATAACTTCTAATACCATGATATCTAAAGGTAATTTGAAATTTTTCAAAATAGCAATATAAAATATAAAATTAAATTGATGGTGATTAAAGTTTCGTTTAGAAAGCTAAATAATAGATAAACCATTTCAATGAAACAGCTATACTGAAAACACGTTGAAATATAATTATCAAATTAATTAAACAATTTTTAAATTGTCAATTTTCAATAAAAAATTATGGAGAGAAATAAGTATTATCTGCAGTTGATAAACGATAAGTTTTATCATTTTTATTAATATGTTTTTATTTTATTATTACCTGTGATTTGGAAACGCTATGTATGACCTTCCCATGCTCTCAATCATATCTTCTTGTCTTAAAATGAATTTTAAAGAATTTCCTATAAAGGGCACTGGTTTTAAATAAGGAACAACCGTGCCCTTGAATCTGTCGTAGTTCCAAGTTCCATATTTGTATAAGCGCCAAAGTAAAATAGCTCCTAATAATATTAAAGCTATCATGCTGCTGAAATTGAAAAAAAAAGGTACTTTATACTACTTTGCACTATATGGGCTACTAGTCCTCATATGTTTTCTGTTGTATATAGTTAGTATTATAACAAACATAAAAGGGACTGTGACGTCACTGGCTGAGCGAACGTTGCCGACAATCGCGGAACTCTTCTGATTGATTAAATGTTATTTCTTGAGATCCGACATCTTTAACTAATATATTAAAAGTTATATTCTGACTCCAAGAATATAAACGGTTGTTGTTTTGATTTATGGAGTTTATAAATTTAAACAAGATATTTAATTCACAATTTTTGAAAAATAATATATCTAAATTTTAAATATTCATATTTGCTTTATCATGCACAGGTGCTTTAACTTTGTGGTATACCATTCTATGCAAAATTGATATAATTACATATATCAATTTATTATCATTATCTGAGATACTTGATAATTATTTATAGTTGTTGAATAAATTAATATTGCGATCAGAACTTACAAAAAATATATATCTTTCAAACGTTATCATTATCATTTGTAATATATGTACAAAACGTAATCAGTATTTTCAATATGAGAAACTCTTAGTATTTGCCTTGAATCGAAAATGTTATTTATTTTACTAATAGCTTTATATATTAATATTAAGAACTGATAATTTTAGTTAAAAAAAATTCAATTAACCAAATCTTTAATGAAATCAAATAAATAAGTTTCACGAAAATTATATTCTTTTAAATAAAGAGTCTTTATAAATTTTTTTAAAACTCCTTGGTATTTTATCCTAATAACTGTTGTTTTAAATTAAATATTGATGTAAGTGATTTAATAAATTTTCATTTACTCATGGGTTAACTTCTTCTAAATGATTATTATCAAGTATTGTAAAGGTTAAATTCTTCTTAATACTCTATATTAAGAATTATAATTTTTCGAAACTTTTTGGTTATTATTATAGCGTTGTATTTTATTGAAATAATTGAAAGTTTTTTTAATCATTAAAAATGACTTTGTTCAATTTGTTTTTATTATTAATACATCAAGTATTACTTCTGATGTAAGCAAATTAGTTTTGATCATATTTATTTTAACATAACTACATTTTTGATATTATTTTGAAATAGTAAAATTAATTATTTTGTTTAGTTGTTTAGTAATTAATTAGTAAATTAATGATTTCTTTTTTTCTTTAATGAAATGTGTTTTTTTTTAATAACAGTAAAGCATCTACAAATTTAAAATTAGTAATATAAAATAATATATTTTAGGATAATAATAAATTTTCAAATATATAGCCATTATACTAAGTCTTCTGTTTTATTTTATTGATATAATGAATTGATAAGAATGATTTTTTTTAGAAATTCTTAAAAAATGATTTTTTTATTATTAGTAAATTTTTGTAATTAGTAATATGTTTGATAAAATTCACATAATTAAAATTAATTATATATTTTTGAAATAAAATTTAGTTTTTAAATGTTAGAAAATCATTTACATATTTTAATTTTGGAATAGTAATATTTTTCCTTTGTATTTTCTTGATATGGTTGAAGAATAATAGTTTTGACTTTTTTATTTATTAAAATATTTTATTATTTGAATTTTCAATATCTTTTAATAATTGGCAATGATTCTGATATTTATTGTTGTGAAGCTGCTAATAGATTCGGTTTTTTTAAATAAGCAAAAAATTAGATACTGAAAAAAAAGATAATTGAAAAAATATTGAAATTCTTAAAAACTATTCAAACTGTTAAGCTTCTAAAAAATGTTATTTTATTTAAATTACTTCAATAAAATACCACGCAATATTAATAACCAAAAAGATTTGAAACATGTGTACATCTTAAAAGCTCTCTATTAAGAAGAATCTAACCTTTACAAAACTTGAGTATAATTATTTAGGAGAAGTTAACCTATGAGTTACCTTCTAAATTAATTTTTATTAAATTAACTACTAAATAACTCATGTCAATGTTTAATTTAAAACAGTAATTGTAATAAAACACCAAAAAGCTTCAAAAAAATTTTGAAAGCTCTTTTTCGAAAAGAATATAATTTTAATTAAACTTGAATATAATTATTTAGTGCAGTGGTTTCCAACCTTTTTGCACTGCGCCCTCATGCTATAATAAAAAAATGTTTTGTCCCCCTTAATTTCTTCAACAATTTAATTTCATAAATATTCAACTGACATTATCGGACTACAAATTAATAGGCAAAATTATGTGAAAATATGAATAAAAACTAATTATTTGTTGTTTATTTTTTTAATATCATTTTAAAAATGTTGGGTTAATTTCGAAACAGAAGTACTCGTCCCACGGTTTGGAAATCGCTGATTTAGTGTCTAATATAATTTATAAATTTTTATTTGTGAAACAAAGCAGTAGCAGTTAAAATGTCTTTTATGTACATTTAAGTAAAACCAAAACATGAATATATAAATATTATAATATAATAAAAATAATAATGGGTAGTAATGCCCTAGGGCAGTTTTTTAAGTTGAGTTAAAATCCAATTCGATTCAGGGAAGAATAATGTGGGAAATTTTTCTTTGCCATTGCACACCACAGTGCAATTTTAAATTGGAAACATATTGTTGATCTATAAACGGACATCCTGACCGCACGATGTCAGGTTGTCCGGTGAGTTTACACCATGGAACACTCTATTATATTATAATATCACTTATTCATATTTGATATATACTTTAACTTACGTGGTTTAGTTTACACTGTAATTTGCACTTTTAATACTGTATATTACTTATTATTTATTCAGTAGGTATCCTTTATTTTATTTATTTACACATCATTAAATTATATACTGTTCACAAACTCTAACGTTGCATCATTTACATTCACACTATTTCGTAGCAAATTACACCTGTGTTTTAGTTAATACTTTATTATTGTTTTATTATTTATTATTATCATTATTTAAATTTATTCATTTAAATGTTTGTATACAAACTGCGCATCAGTACTGACCGATCCTCAACTCGTATGTGGGAAGACGAATGTCAGGTCGATATTAAACAACTCAGAACGAATTAATTGTACAAGTCCGTCACGTAATAATAAATATATATGACCATGAATTGTTTGTGAGTCTGCGTGTTTTAATATATCCGAATTTTAGCGTCGTCATGCTATGACTAGAAAAACGAACACAATTATGCTATCTGCTACAAAAATGCGAATGATTATTATGTTAACGAAGGTCAAATAGAGATAAATGTGCGAGTCAAGTTAATTTTGGTATCGTACTTTACTAATTATTATTATTATTGGTGCTTTGACCGGAGACAGGTTTATGATATGACGGCACCACATTCAACTTACTCTTCTTTCCTGTCTTGTTTCTAAATCAAATTTTACTTTTCAAACTTCTGTTTCCATCCTTGGGCTTTGCCCTTTTTAGCTTCCTTTATGGTTAGTTATAGTAATCGCAAGAAATCGAAAAATGGATGGATGTGTGTGTGTACTATGTATGTATGTATGTACGGATACAAATTTTTGTCGAGAACACGGATCAACCTTTTTGAGTATTTTAAAAAATATTTGATTCGTATTGATGGGGAGACGTGCTGATTAGGCTTTGGCAAAGGCTTGCACAGCAGTTTCAAAAATACTGGGCAAAAGTTTTCAAAATTTTCAAGAAAATTCAAAAAATGAAAAAAAAAAATAAAATTTTGCCTTATGGTTTTTTTTAATAAAGTTCTCAAAAATCAATTTTTTTTAATGTTCCGAAAAATTGTAAAGCTTTTTTAAAAATATTAATTTTCGTTATGGGAAGTTCCAGCAATCCTTCCGGTTATATCCAGAGGAGCTCCTTCTTCTTTTTTCCACAATTTACTATAATTTTTTACGTCGCCTTATAACTTAATTATTTTACTTCTACATTTTTTAGAACTACATACCGATTTATTATATAGGTCTGGTATACTTGTTAACTTCCCAGATGTATTTGATGGGTCTTCCATATAGTGCATACCTCTGATCCTAACAGAGCCAGGATACAGATGTATCATTTAACATTAGGTTTGATAATATATTTAACTTCCCGAAGGAGAAGTTTGTGTTCACGCCACAAAATTCAATTTGCCAATTTTAAGTTTTCTCGACGTATCAAGTCCTTCTGGATCGTTTGACAAAATATGAGGTTTCGTCGATGCTTTCACGAAAACGGGCTGCACCGAATTCAAAATTTTAAATCCTATGGTTTTGTTTTTCTGTCTCTTTTTTAAGTTTCGAGGTCTTTACTTGCATTTAAATAATCAATTTCGATTCCAACAATCATTGTTGATAATGAGTTTTTTTATGATAAAATAAGATAAATAGGATGTTTGATTTATTAAGATAAATGTGATGAAATAAGATAAAACATTAAACGAACTAATAATAACAAATTCTAAATTCAGGCATTCAGGCTTCCACCGGATCATAATTCTTATTAATTAATTTTTAATAAAGTATGAATTATTTAGTTAAAACACAATTCTGAAGACTAGAAGGAATAACGACTGTATGTAAGTGGCATTTTGTCTTAAAGCAAGTTGCGTGAATTTTCCGATACATGTAAATAATCGACTTAATCAATAAGTATTAATAATATTTTTCGAATTTCAAAATTCGTTTAGGTTTTGTGACGAAAACCTTGATGAAAAATTTTAGCGCTTTTTTGCTAATTCCATAGAAACTGTTCAGTCAATCATGTTTTTACCCACTACATCGAATTCTTTTTAAATTTTTGCATTTTTCAGAAATCGTCGATCATAGGTCAAATTTTGTCTCACATACAAACATACACTTAAACTCACGTAAACTTTTTGCAATTTTCGAAAAAACATAATTTTTTACAAAATTATTAATCATGCAACATAAAAATTTGAGAATGTTTAAATTTATTATCTTTGTTATTTTAATTATATTCGAAATCGAACAGGTTTTTTAATTGAACTCTGGTCAAATTTTTGAAAGAGGAAGTTATGTAAAACGAATCTGTCACTTCCTGATACTGTTCAAAATATTCAATGTACAGATTTGTCATCGATGTAACAACTATAAAGTGCATAGAATTTTTGTATACTTTATATACTAATTTATTTTGGACAGCAATTTCAACGTAGATTTTTTTAGTTGACGAGTCTCAACGATTGTGCTGTCTATATTTGATATATTTTATTATTTATTAACTATTCTAATACTAATTATGTATTTTCAATATTTTCAATTGTAGACTTAGTTTAAATCCACATTCTCATGTTTAAACCTATATCACTTCTGCTTGATATCACGCTGTCTGAGACAGGTATTGAACCTAAAACCTTCTACCTGAAGGCTAATGATTACTGCAAATCTTCAGAAAAGCAAATATAAATTAAATGATAATACTTTTTAATACTAAATTAGGAGTTTATTTTTTATGATATTAAAGAAAATTTCATACGATATTAAATTTTAAAATAATTTTATATACGATTTTCTTATGAAAATTTGTTTCTATCCAACTAGCATATTTTAAAAATGAAAATATTCTAGTTATAAATAATTATATAATATAATAGTAAATAATTATAATAATAAGTTTCATATCAATTGCACCTAATTCCTGGATTTTCGTGGCTTCAACTTCATCCAAAAGCCTTTTTCGGGTCTCATTTGAATTGAATTCCTCGACAACTTTAATGGAATTTGAGTTTTTTCGGAAGGTACGATGTCGAATTCTTTCAAAATATTGAAAAGCAGTGCTTTCATTTCCATGAGAGCAAATCTTGATCCTGTAAAAAATATGTTTGATATGTCAAAAGTATTTTATATAAAATGACGAACATTTCGGGCGTAACGCAATTTCCGTTGCATTTGTACAGATTTACTCCTTAGTCGCGCCTAAAGAAGTTTTACTTTGCCGGATAGGGACAGAGTCTCTATTTATCCACGATGATTTACAAATGACATATATAATTTTAATTTGTAAGTGATATGTTATGATTGATCTATGTTATTGTTGATACCTATGCAATTCCTGGGTCCTACTCCAAAAGGCATGTATGTAAAAGGTTTTATATTTTGTTTGTTATCTTCACTGAATCTTTCTGGATCAAATTTATGCGGATTTTCATAATATTGTTCATCGTGATGTATGTTATATATTGGAATCATTAGAGCTTCTCCTTTCTTCACCTGTAAATGATCATAGTATTAATATATTTTTCATGAAATATTTTTATCAAATAAATTCATCAACCTCAAATTTGTTTCCTTCATAATCCTCCAAAGTGTATCCATTATTGCAAACTCTGTCAGTGAATGGTGCTGCTGGCCATTTTCTTAAGCCCTCTAAAATATAAATTTATAACTTCTATAATTGAAACCAATGAGTCAAAAATAAAATTTATTACCTGATATGACCATATCCAAGTATTTCATCTTATGCAATCTTTCATAATCTACTAGTTTTTGATTAGATTGTTCCAATTCAACGCAAACTGCATCTATTTCATCTTGCAGAGTTTTCTGAACTTCTGGATTTATTGCTAATTCGTATGCAACAAAGCAGATTGATGTAGAAATTGATTCGAAACCAGCCAAGAAGAAGATCATTGCTTGACCAGTAATCTCATCGTCTGACCAAACTGAAATTTTTAACTAATCAACTGACTGGTTCATATAGGAACTTAGAAGTTAAGTTGAATCTTTTATTAAGATATTTTTAAATGAAGTATCTATGTAATCTCACTTACCTCTTTTATGGGTAGATGATTTGGTGATTGAAGATTCAGTAACAGTGGCAAAACCTGAAGATTCATCTACATCAGCTTCATGTTTCAAACCTCCTTTTTTGGCTTGCATAAGCAAATTAATCATATCAGGACGAACAATTCCTTTCTTTTCTCTCTCATCCATAGTATCGTGCACCAAAGTGCGGAAGAATTTGCCACAATCTTGATCCAGTAAAGTTATTCTGAGAACCTAAATAAAAAATTTGTGAAAATAATAAAATTCCTTCAGTATTAGAAGTTTGATGTTCAGAAATATTTTGCTCACCCTCATGATGTGAGGTATCAGCAAGAAGGCAAAAAATTTCAAGCTGACCCAAAATCCCGAGAAATTGCTAACTTTTCTTCCCATTTTGTAAAATATATTATCAGGATCTTTTAAAGTGTCTACCTTAATCCCAAATGCAGAAGAAGCTATGACATCATTTGCATACTTTGTGACGAGCTCTTTTACTTCTAGATCCAAAGTACCTGGAAAAAACTGCTATTTAAGAAATAGATAGCCTAGGTGTAAGTGGCATTTGCCTTAAGGAACAGGACTATCTAGGTGTAAACGGAATTTTGCCTTCAGGAAAGTTGCATGAATTCTACGATATGTGCAATAATTGAAAATTGAATTTAGCAATATTTGAAATTGTGATGATATAATTTTGAAATTTATGGTCCTATTCTGCCGCACAACAGACCAATGTTATGGCAAGGCCATGTTGCGCTCCAAACTGCATACAATATGCTACTGAATCATACTGAATACAGTCAAAATGTGATGTATTTGCTGTGCATTCAAGCGTTTTATACATAAACTGCATCGTCACTTGTATGTTATGGAGCTGGGTCAGACAGACCCTGATTTTAATACAACCTCTGTAATTGATATGAAATTAATGAATTTAGGTTGTTACCTTTTTTCTCAACTTCCTCATGTAAATGATCAGTCAATTGTTCTGCGCACTCAATAATAAATTCGTACATTAGTCGCATCTTGCTCCCAGTAAAAGCTGGACTGAGGGTAGATCGCATGTCGCGCCATTTCTGATCTATAAAAAATATTTTTATATATTGCTTGATCTAAATTCAAAGTAGTTGAATGCAAACTTAAGTAAATTCAAAATAGTTGAATACTGTACCTTTTAGAAGAAAAAGGCTGCTTCCGAACAGTGGTTCTAGAGCAGGATCGACAAATGGTCTATGGTTTGTGAAACTGTCAAAATCTTTAACTGCCACCTGACGGATGAGCTCTGGATCTCGTATCATGATAGATGGTAAGCGCATTTGAAAGATTCCTACAAATCTATAAAAACAATCATTTTCAAATAATATTTCTTTTCATCATGAGGATAATTCAGTAGTTGTTCTGAAGTCTTATTGTATAGGTGTTTGATGGAAGGTAACCGAGTAGTTGTCCAATCTTAGATGTGACATATTTGTATTTTACAACTTCCCGTAATGGTAGTTATAGTAATCGCATTACGTTTCAAATCATAATTTATCTTTCTCCATTTGGACCCTATCTCAAATTCAGTATAGTTTAGCTGTTATGACCATGAACCAACCGTACTCAGTCTCTCCTACTAATTAATGCTTTCTATCTCCAAGTTATCATTTTTTCTTTTCTAAAAATTCTTTAACTAGTGCATACCTGGCTCGAGGGAATTTTGTATATGGTTTCCCTATACTTTCAATCATATCTTCTTGTTTTAACAAAAATTTCAAAGAATTTCCTATGAGGGCCACTGGCTTCAGGTAAGGAACGTTGGTTCCTTTAAATCTGTCGAAGGTCCATGTAGCATATTTGTAAAAGACCCATAATAGAAAGATCCCTAGTGAAAGTAAGCCCCACATGTTGCTGTAAATGAAACATCATTACATTATTAACTTGTAAAATTATTAAATTAATTGCAATAATGTCACAATTAGAAAATATGCTAAATTTCGATATTAGTTTCAATGCAAAATGTGCAAATATCTCGATATTATACTTGCTTAAGGACTTCTGAACATTTTGGCATACCTTAGAAAAAAATGGATGTATGGGTGTTGTGTGTGCGAGTGTGTTTTTGCGTGTGAATATATATTTGGATACAATTTTTCGCTCACGATTTCGAGAGTGCGGATCGACTGATTTGAATGATTCAAAAAATATTTTATTTGGTTTTAAAATTATTAATTGAGAACAAAGAAAAAAAGGCAAAAATGGTGATTGAACATATGTGTATCAAATTATCAGATATTTAATAGAGATTTTAAATTATTGAAGCACAGATTTTGTTTTCATATATATGGATTTACTGATATAGTTCATACAGTAAAGATCAAGTGACTTGAATGGCTCAAAAAACATTTTGAGAAAATTTCAAGAACTAGTGGTGTATGGAACTAGTCGTGCTCGTGTCTTGAGGCAAATTGCTCGAACTTTCCGTACCAAATATATTTTTTTTTAAACTTTGAAAAAATTAGATGTTTGAGAAATTTTACATTTTTTAAATAAATTTTTAAAGACTTGTTTGGAAAATAAACTTTCAATTTTGAAATATTTTGAAAATTTTGAATCAAAAAAATGGAAAATGAACATATTTATATATCTGTACGTTTCAAAGGTTTCTGAACATCTTCTAAAAAATTGTTGTATATGTATGTGTGTGTGTGTGTTCGGATACAAATTTTCGTCGACGATTTTGTGAACAAGGTTCAACCGATTTCAGTAGTTCAAAAATCATTTGATTTCTATTGACAAAGAGTCGTGCTGAGTAGTTTTTGGCAAAGGCAGGTCGAGCTGTTTCGAAGATTTTGGCAAAAAGTGCCAAAAACGGTGAATCAGTTTTTAAGAGAACGGAGCGTTCGATTTTAATAATTCAAAAAACATTTTACTTCTATTGACAAGATAAAGAACTGATTAAATTGTTGGGAAAGAAGGTCTAGCGGTTTTGGAAATCTAGTAAAAAAAGTAAAAAAAAAATGCCATTTGGCGGTCAAAAATGATCATTAGACATATGCACATCAAATTATTAGATAATTATAGAGATTTTAATAACAAGTATAAATTTTGTTTACATTTCTATGGGTTCCGTAACATTGTTTGTCCGTTAGATTGCTACGCAGCGCTTACGCGCTCCGATATTTCATCTCTATGGAGCTAAAGCAGCGCGTGTGCTTTGAAAAAAAAGTTCAAAGTTTCCAAAATATATTCACAATATGAAAAAAAAATTATTTTAAAAAAGTCAATTTTTTTAAAACATTTAAAAATTCTCAAAAATCAAATTTTTTGCAAGTTTAAAAAAAAATATATTTTTGGTACGGGAAGTTCCAGCAATTTGCTTTAAGGCACGATGCCATACACCACTAAATATCAATTTTTATTGATTATTGATTTTTTTACAATGTTTAATTACGGTATGTGAAGTTCCAGCAATTTTCCCACGATGCCATTCACCGTTAGTTTATTAAAGTAAATACATATATGGAACAAATTATAATTAACTAAAATAAAAATTTTAATTACCTTATATTACCATTAATAAGGTAATATTAATTTATTAATGATATACACAATTACTACGTTGTTTGAAAATTTGCACGCGTATATATACAACATTCAAAAATTTTACATGATAACTAAATAAAGATAAAAATTGTTATCGACTGATTACTGGAAAACATTATCGATTATCAAATTTGTATTTTATTTTTAATTGGTAAGATGAGTTTTGTTTTTACTCATCTCACAAGACAATATTTATAAAATGCTTATTCATGGCACATCGGCAATTACAAGCTGTAATTATATTATTAAAATATTTTAATGTAAAAACGAGAATTTATTTCTAGTTGATTTAATTATATATTCAGTAATTTTCTAATCATTTTAGCAATTCACAAGGGTATAAGCAAATTTCATATTTATGTTTATTAGTAATTCTACAAGATTTTCCGGCCCAATTTAATGTAATTAACTGTTGAAAAAAAATTTCTCGACGATTTGTATGAATTTTTTTTTTGACGATAGATACCGTGGTCTTGTAGAACATACTAAAATATTAAGGCTTAATATTATAAAGTTTGTAAAAATAAGTTGCGTTTATTTGGCCTTTGCCAAAATTAGACCTTTCATCGACGTTTTCTCAAAAACTCTTGAACCGATTTTAAAAATGCGAAAGTCATTCATGGTTTTGTGCGACGATTGGCCGAGCCGTTTCGATGTAACGTGTAAAGCTTTTTGTCTACGTTTTAGCTCACAATCTTGAACAGAAATTGAGATTTGGATATTTAGAAAACATTTTCAACTGTTTATTTCGAAAATCAAGTTTTCTCTTTTAATTAAATCTAAACATTGCGATTTTCAATTGAGTTTTTTCAAACACATTAAAATTAGCTGTGATTTTATTAATTATTTTGACACAAATTTTGACCATAATATTTTTTCAAATTTTGATGCATTTTTAAAATTTAACTACTTGTCGTAGGATATTTCAGTATGTTCTACAAGACCATGCTATCTATTGTCAAAAAAGTTTCATAAAGATTGTCAAAACATTTTTTTTCAACAGTTACAAGAAAACGGCTCGGTCGATCTTTACCTAAAACTAGTCAGTATCATTCCCAACTAATATCTTTCGAACAGTTTTGTTACAGATCTGGAACTTGACGTTTTGCAACTTGGCTCAAGGCAAAATACCACTTTCAACAAGTTTAATACACAATTCATGGAATTTAGATAATTAGTTGATTTACTTTTATAGATACACTATTTACCACAAAACTCTTAAATAACCTGCGGCAATACGAGGAATTTTCTTTAACATTTTTAAATTTAATTTAAGTGCTTTTCATATAAACATAACAAATCTGCGAAAAATAGTTCAACTTTTTAACTTCCTGAAGGAGAAGTTTATGTTTTCATCAAAAAATCCGACTCGCTAATTTTATGTTTTCTCGACGTTTCAAGCCATTCTGAATCGAATGAGACCAAATTTGGAAAAAGTATGTGTGTGTGAGTGTGTGAACAGATTTTTTGCCGTAAATCGACGTTTTCTCTAAAACAGATGGACTGATTTCAAAAATTTAAAAGCCGATCGATGTATCTCGATGAGGACTAGCGTTTCTGAGTTTTGTGCGACGATCGGCCGGGCCGTTTCTTTATAAATTGCAGAAAAGTGAAAATTTTTTTGTCGTTTTTTTCCACGTTTTAGCCCGCAATTCTGAATCGATTTTGAAAATTCAAAAACCGTTCGATAGATATTGGTTCGGAATCGTGCTGATTAGTTTTTGGTAAAGATCGGCTGGGCCGTTTTCTTGTAATAAAGTTTAAAAAAAAATTTCGACGGTCTTTATTATTTTTTATTGACAGTAGATCTAGATAATACTAAAATATTACGGCCCTACGACAAGCCGTTTAATTTTGAAAATTCTTCAAAGTTTGCAAAAATTAATATCGTTTTTTTGGCATTTGTCAAAATTAGACTTTTGATCGACGTTTTCTCAAAAACGCCTGAACCGATTTCAGAAATTTAAAAGCTATTTGATGTATCTTAATGTGGACTATCGTTTGCCAGTTTTGTGAGACGGTCTGCTGAGCCGTTTCTTTGTAATTTGAAAAAAAAAAAGTTAAACTTTTCGTCCACATTTAACCTCAAACTACCGAACCGATTTTAAAAAATCAAAAACTGTTCGAAAGATATTAGTTGGGAATGATACTGATTAGTTTTAGGTGAAAATCTACCGAGCCGTTTTCTTGTAATTAACTGTTGAAAAATAATTGAAATCGATTTTTATGGAACTTTTTTTGAAGATACATATCTTGGTCTTATAGAACTTACTGTAATATTGCGGCCTTACGACAAGTAGTTTAATTTTAAAAATTCATCAAAGTTTGAGAAAACGAGTAGTTTTTTTGACGTTTGTTTAAATTAAAATTAGACAATTTACTTGTTATAACGATAGAGTATTTGGTCTTAATGAACATACTAAACCATTAAAGTCCTATGGAAACTGGTTCAATTATAAAAATTATTGATTTTTGAAAATTTGCTTTTAGAAAATACTCCAGTTAACAAGTTTGTTCGTTTTTAATTATGTGTAATAAATCCACTCGGAATACTTTTAATCACTCATAAATTAATTTTCTTTATTGATTAAGTCGATTATTTACACATATCGGGAAGTTCATGTAACTTGCCTCAAGGCAAAATACCAATACCAACTAGTTTACTAAAGCTTACGGTTTTACTATAATATTTTGGAAACAATATTTATTTTTTGCATATAGTAACAGATCAGATCTATATGCAAAAACTCTCATTATAAGAAATTATTTAATAAGTAAATATTGTAAATTTTATATCGAAAAAACAACTACTGAGTTGTTTTTTCCAACAAGTCAAAGTAGTATACAATGTACCTTTTTGGCGGACTATTGTAAATCCATTAAATTTACTGAATGTCCTATACTGGACAGTTGTAAATAAAAGAGTTAATAAAAAAAAAAAAGTATGCGGAAACAAATTTATGCCTACACTGATTTAATTTTAGTTTATAAATATTTTTATCACCTTATTTTATTTCATCTGCGCAAAATGATATATTAAAGCACTAAACTATATATTAAAACACTACAAATTTCTAAAATTTATAACAATTATATTATAAATTTGGTTGATAAGTTGACATCACTATCACTAGCTTTTTAAATGTTTAT